TCAGGTTAAGCCACTCTAGATTCTGCTTAGTTTAATTTTAATTATATAATTAAATTATTTTCTATATCTTAATCTGATTACTATATTATAGTCAGATTAATATTAAGATATAATAATGGGGTTAAGCTACTCTATCTATTACTTATATATAGGAGTTCTGTAAATAGAAATAGAATATAAAAAATTAAATAATCTTAATTTACTTAAATAAAAACTAATATTAATAAGAATTATATTAATTTAGAAAATTATCTAGTATTAATATTATTAAATCTTAATATATATCTTTATATAAGGTTTATTAAAGGACTTTTACTAGTATTTTTCTTAGAATGTTTTTATATAGATAAAGGATCCAGATAGGCCGGAATATAGAATATTTTTGTACCTGATAGCTTACCTGTGACTGCTGCTGACATATTGTGTAACTGGAATTATGCAGACTTTTGACTAAGAACTATAACCTGTCTTTACTATACAATCTCCTCAATGATCTCTCTTTGCATGCTTTGTATGTTCACAGCCATTACAGCCGGAAACAAAAACAATTGCTGCGGCAACAACCAATAATCCGATTAATCCACCGCCCTGCTTGCGATAATCCTGTTCGGTGAGGCCCACTTTGGCCAGGGCTGCAGTTGCAGATTCGATTGCCTGCGTGGTTGCCTGGCCACTGCACATCAATTTTAGCGCCTGGTTGATCTCTTCAGGATGGTTGCCGAGAGCTTCCTTCATCAGTTCGCAGTCACGTTCCAGTTTTTTGAAGTGTATATCGCTTGTATCCACGGCCGCAAAGTCAACTAGTCCTTGATGTGTCACTGTAGCTATGTCCAACACCTGCTCCACCTTCTTCCCTGACTCGCGGTTCAGGGAGGTTGTCGGTACAACCCCGACCTTCACAGCATTGACCAGACCCTCTGGGGTGCCATCAAAGGCAGTGGGAACTGGTATAAAGCTGCCTGTAACTGCAGTGTAATCTTGCGACATTTGACACTTGTAAGTTGTTATAATAGGATGTTTTCCTGTCAGGGGGCACAGGGCACTAGGAAACTAGATTTCAAAATAATAGAGATAGAATAAAGATAAATATAATTAACAAAGTTGCCAAAGGGAAGCAATGCAAGTTCCTAGATAGGAAATAAGTGGATCCTAATACAGAATGTGAATGAATTAGATGACTTGGATAGCTTGGGTAGCTTGATTCAACACGATCCAGGTAGGGGTTGAAAGGCCCTGTTTATATTCAATTCACTGCTTGTAGTGAATTGATCTAGATCAGGGTCATGAATCATCAGTTAATCATGAAACAAAGAAAGTGGGGTAAGCAAAGTGGGGTCATCAGTTGCGAACAAAGAAATAAGAATTGAATGATCAGAATAATGTAAAGAATACAAGAATTCATATATAGAATTATTGCTATTATGATTTGCAAAGGTCTGGCCCAATCTCTTTCATTTAAGCTGGCAATTCCATATACTTTGTATGGAGAATGTAGCTGATTTGGAATTTGTTGGAATAAGTCATTCTTTGATAATCAAATCAGAGTTTCATTATGAAAGAAGTATGATTTCCAGCGGACATACCCCGCGCCACCCCCAGGGTGCATATATGTATGCAAAACTCAGCAAGGGAAAGAAGTTAGAATACTGAGAGTAGAGGACGATGAGATATCCTTATTGATTGACTCCTTAGTTTTTTTGTCAGGGTTAGTACTATGCTGAAGTATAAAGACTGTGTCTTGAAAAATGGTTGTGGTGCAAAATACCAACCACATCTTCCGGGCATTCCGTAATTGACTCTGCAGTGGTGTCATGAGAGAGTGACTTTGGTCTCGACCAGTCTCCATAAGTGCAACGTTGGCTCACTCCGGTTTTCTCACCAATTGATTTGTCGATTTGGAGGCCACATGATTAGAAAATAGTTACTGGTTACCTCATCACTTATTATTTAGTATAACTCATTCATGTTACTGGATGACTCGACTAGTGTTCTAGGTCTTGCCGATGTGAAGGTCATCATTTTCCTCAGTGTACTCAGTTAATATAACGTCCGAAAGGCTGGAAATCCTATCACACACAGCCAGGATGTAATATGCCGTAAACAATATGTCATTGATGTTTACTGATGGTTGAGTCTTACTGCCTATGTCGAGCTCGTACTTGTTGGAGAGGTGCGCTTCATGACTATCCCACTTCTTAGAAGTTGGGATGACGAAGGCGATTTGAAAAGAACTATTGAATAGATATCTTATAGACTCAGTAAATAGCCTGCTGACGGCCTGTGGAAAATAGTAATGGATGATATTTGTGGTATTATCAATTCCATAGCCTTTGTGATAGCTGGTGACCGTGCTAGCCAGCACATGCTCGATGAAGATACTCCGATGACGGCCATGCTTGGTATTGTTATGGCAGAGGCTGAGCAACTCCGTCGCCCGGCCCGGTTGGCCGCCGGTGATATGGACGAGCAGGAGCAGACGCTCAAGAGATTTCTGAAAATCCTGCTGATAGCGCGTCACAACACCCTCGCGCCAGAGAATGTGGTCTTCCTGACCGATCCGACGAAGCTCGAGAAATTCATCCCGTAGTCAGCTCGTTTCAAGTACCCGATTAAGTAGCCATCGTTCGCCAGTTGTTCGTAGCGCTGCCCGTATACAAGGATCTTTTAGAAAATTCCATCCCCGCTGATTATTAGTAGGATCATCGCGTAGCTCATAGAGAGAAAGTCGGGGGATAATCTTCTTACGCAGCTCTTCCTCGTGCGGTAAAGAGAGCCCCTCAAGCTTGGCTTGGGTGAGCTCGACTTGCTTAGCAATAAACCGGCGGAATCCTGACATGCTAAGCTGCAGCTTCTTATAGCTCAGCGTCTGGTCACCATCGCTCCAGTAGATATAGCCCATGCTTGTTGTGCTGTTCTGAGTTTTCTGCCTGTAGCCCGCAGCCGGGTAATCCAGCCAAACAGGGCGCGTACCCCGAATATTAAGAACTGCTCCCGCATCTTATTCAGGGCTTCGCCTGGGTGGGTAATCTGGCCGGCTTCGGCGAGCTGGACAGCCTGTAGAGCTAACAGCATCTGTGCCATGTTCACAAGTCCGGATAGATAGCTAGTATAGCCATAGGGCTTCAGAGATGTCTGCTGTTTAATGTGAATTCCCAAAACGGCAAGAAACCTGAGTATGGTGCTTTCGAAGAGTTGCTTTCGAAGAGATTTCCCTTGAAAGTATGCTAGAGTATGGTGATTGAAAATGTTAGGCAGGCTTTATCGAGCACTTCCTCCTCCTGCTTCTGTCTATTGGCACGCTGCGATGGCTCGGGGTCTTTGTCTTTGGATTAGAGATCCACTAGCTGCTGGCTATAGGTAGGTCTCCATCTGATCGAGCGCGGCGAATTGTGCGGTATTCAGCTGGTAGCGGAGCGGGATCGGCTGATCGGTCCGGCTACTGCGGTAGGCAAAGCAGATGAGGCGCTGCCAGGTCTGACAGTATCGATGGTGTGTGTGTTTTGTCCTAACATGCCGGATAAGGTCAGCGTGACGCTGAAAGACGCCAGTATATGTGCAGCCGTCCCATTTGCATGTAAGCGACGGTTCAGGAGACCTGAAACAGAGCCTATGTTAGTTTCTTGCTCATAGCGTAAATGACCCTTGTGAACTTACCCGCCGGGAAGGGTATTGGGGGGTGAATGGTGGTGAAGGCACCGACGGGGCCCACACTTTCATCATGAAAAGGCCTGGAGTGGACGAATAGGGAGGCATATTGACTTTCGAAAGGAGGTTGAGGTCGCTGTATCTGAAAGCTGTCTCCGTAAGTGCTTGACTCGCTTGCGTTGCTGAGGATGTCTGGGTTGGCGAAGTTGCATGCTTCAATACTGAGAGCAACAGAAGAAGTGTAATAATCACGAGCCCAGTTTTATATCGGCTCGAGTGACAAGAGGTAGCTTGGGAGCGCTATTCTGCGATGTTCCGAACAGAGGTGCGCTATAGGGCAAGGTTGGTGCTGGTAACTCAAACTTGTCAGCAGTTTATAGAAAACCATTTATTATAATAGTCTATAGAACTACTACACGGGGTACCTCTTATACTATTAAATTATTAAAAATCAAGATCTATAACTAAATATTTGCTTTCTTTCTCTCTTTCTAGTTTCTCTGGGATTATTCTAGAATCTCTTTATTAAGACTATAATTACTATATTTTTTTTTCTATATCTAAATATAATAATAATAAAATATAACCTGAGTAAACCTCTCTTTCTAAATATATATATAATATTATTTATTAAAATATAAAATTATATTATTAATAACAGTACTAGTATTATAATTATTATTTTTTTTTATAATTCTAGTTTATTTATTATTACTAAGAATAAATATAAAATTTAGTTTTCTAATTTTAATATTATGATTTTTAAAATAATAGTTAAAATTAATATTAAACTTTGATTTATTATAGTATTCTTTATTATTATTAATATAAAAAATTATACTTTTTATAACTTTATTAAACTAGAAAAAAAATAGTTAATTTAAATAATAATTAATACTCAGATCTTAACTACTAATATAATTATTTAAAATATTATTTTTAAAGCTAAATTTAATAGTATTAAATATATTATAATTATTATAATTAATTCTCTAGATTTAAAAGTTTATAATTTTTTTTTATATTATAAATATTATCTCTGGGGCTACTGTAAAGTCTATTTTAAGTAAAAATTTTAATATAAGATATATTAATTTAAAAAATAATTTAGTTTAGAAGAAAAAAAAAAATATTTTTTATAAAATAAAATTTATATTTATAGAAATAAACAGTAGAATAAAAATTAAATAATAAATAATAAATAAAAATCTATTTTTATATTTATAATTAAAAAGACTATTTCTATAAGATACTAATTTTTATTTATATTAAAATATATATATAATATAGTAAACTTACCTAGTTTTTATTATATTAAAAAATTTTATTTTAAATAAAGTAAAATATAGTAAAATATAATTATAAATTATTTTAAAAATATATTTATTTAATATATTCTAATAATCTAGAAAAAATAATTAGCTGAAAGTATATATAATCTTTATATATATAAAATTAAAAAATAATTCTATAAATAAAATATAATACAAATAACTATATAATTATTTAAAAATAGATTTTAATATCTATAACTATACTATAAATAAACAGAAGATTAAGAGATTATATTACTTATATTAAAAATTATAAAAATATAAGATTTTGTTAATATTATAAGATTTAAGCCTTCTATCTAACTATAGATATATATTATTTAGAAATACTATTCTATCTATATAAGACTATATTATTAAAAGTAATATTATATAAATAATAAAATATAATTAAATAAAAGCACAGATTTTAGAAACTAGAAGAATTAGAAAATTACTAAATATTAATTTACTATAATTATAAAATTATTTTTAAAATTAAAGCCTAGAAATAATAAAAATTAAAATATTAGATTTTATATCTAAATTAATAAATGTATAAAATATATTTCCCAGATATTATTAAATATAGTAAAATATAAACTAGTAAAAAAAAAGATATAATAATACTAATTATTTTTTAAAATATATCTAGTAAAATCAGCCTTTTATAATAATAAAATAAGTATAGAAATTAACTATAATATTTTAAAAAATATAAATATATAAAATACAGTAGTAAAGAAAGATTAAGTTTTTTTATATATCTTAAACTTTTATATCTAATATACTATATATATAATAGATTAGTTTATCTATAAAATAATAAATACTAATAAATTATAATAATATTCTAATTAAAAATAATTAAAAATCTAAAATTAATTATAAGATATTAATATTATATTTTTAAATTTTTAAAAATAAATAATTAAATAAATATTAGGTTTAGTAAAAAAATAAAATTTAAAAAAATAATAATTTTTTTTTCTTTAAATAAAGTCTAAAAAGATTTAAAATAATCTTTTATTTTATATATATTAAAATACTATAATAAGGAAGCTTTAAAACTATAATAAATCTAATATATATTTTAGTCTAAATAGTAATTTTTTATATATAAGTTATATAAAATAAAGATAAGATAAATATAAAAAAGATATTATAATTTAAAATTTAAAAAAAAGAATTATAAAAACTATTACTTATTTATAAAAATATTTAATATAAAAAATTATATATAAATAAATTAAATATATTTATTTAGCTTTCTTTAAATAGATTATTATTAACTTATCCAAAAATATTATATAGAAAAAATATAAAATTATTAATTTTAGATCTATTAATTTTAGATCTGATTAATATTAATTAATATAGGCTAA